CACTCACTTTACTCACTTTTATTGCTTAGTCTTTTTATGAGAGCCGTTTGCCACAGCCGCACAGAACTTCGACTGCAGCATCACGATGGATTACTATGATTACAATTTGTTGTTAAAAATGTGTTTGTTATGAAAATAATGTCAAAATACAGCATTTCCAGGGAATATTTCATTTCAAAATCAGAAAAGAAACTGATACAAATAAATATAAAAATAAATAAATTGTACATTCAGATATATGTTTTTCATTTAATTTTAAATGCAGTTGTATTTATTTAAATTTTGTATTTTTTTGTATTATTCACGATGGATTACTATGATTACAATTTGTTGTTAAAAATGTGTTTGTTATGAAAATAATGTCAAAATACAGCATTTCCAGGGAATATTTCATTTCAAAATCAGAAAAGAAACTGATACAAATAAATATAAAAATAAATAAATTGTACATTCAGATATATGTTTTTCATTTAATTTTAAATGCAGTTGTATTTATTTAAATTTTGTATTTTTTTGTATTATTCACGATGGATTACTATGATTACAATTTGTTGTTAAAAATGTGTTTGTTATGAAAATAATGTCAAAATACAGCATTTCCAGGGAATATTTCATTTCAAAATCAGAAAAGAAACTGATACAAATAAATATATAAATAAATAAATTGTACGTTCAGATAAATGTTTTTAATTTAATTTTAAATGTAATTATATTTATTTAAATGTTTTTATTTTTTTTGTATTATTCACGATGGATTACTATGATTACAATTTGTTGTTAAAAATGTGTTTGTTATGAAAATAATGTCAAAATACAGCATTTCCAGGGAATATTTCACTCCAAAATCAAAATAAGTAATTTTTTTAATAAACATGTTTCATTTATTTTAAAATAAATTAAATACAAATAAATGTTATTTACATTACATTAAATAAAAATTAAATACAAATGTTGTATTAGAGTTATGATGATGCATTACTATGACAACAATTTGTGACTAAAATGTGTAATTGTAAAAAATCGAAATGAAATGATTTTTTAAAAATGAATACATCATTTAATAATAAATAAATAAATTAAAAATAAATTGTACATAAAAATAAAGCAATATTCTGTATTATATGATGTGTTATGATGACAATTTGTGGTTAAAATGTGTTTAATTGGGATTTTTGAATGAATGAATGAATTTAATTAATGAACTAAAATTAACATGCAAATACATGTAAAAAATAATATTGTTTTGTATTAAAGCCATTATGCATTGATTACAATTTGTGGTTAAAAATGTAAAATGAAAATAATTTCACAAAGCCAAAAATGTCAATGGTCCTAAAAAAAAGTCTTCATTTTTATTGTAAAATAAACCTTTTAATTTCAGGGTGAAATATGACCTGGTGGACAGTAACTGTAGAAGACTACACCTCAGTCTATCCTCTTCCTCTTGATAGCCTGAAGATACTAATGATTAAAGTGTGCCGTTTAGAGACTATTCCCTCAGCCCTGTCAGTCAGTCTCTGGCTCTCCTTCATCTTTGTGTGTAAAAACCCCTCTAGACTCGCTCTTAAAGTGCGTTACGAGGCGACTCCAGCTTTTAGCCCTGAAGACAGATGCTGCGTCTCAAGGCCAGGTGGTTTTGCTAGACACTTTAATTCTTTTAATGGTACGACCAACGTAGTAATAGAAAAATCCAGTGGGTGTGTGAACGGTTAAATATAGGCATGTGGTTTTCTTTTTCTGTGCTTTTGTCCTTTATAACACCGAACAATTCCCTTCCTCTGAAAGGTCCTTCTCTGATCATATTGAGCCGGATTTATGACGGCAATTTGAATAAAATTGTTAACCTTGATTAACGGAGGAACGTTCCAGCGTGAGATCAGATCAGATGCTATAAAAAGACTTGGCTGGCATTGTGATGCATGACGTAGTTATCCGTCCTGTCACACTGAGGCAGCGGCGACAGAGAGAACGATGCTTTCAGAAGCATTCACACGTTTTTCTCTTTCCCAAACGTAACCTTTCTCATTTTCTGCTCCTTATCTGTTCATTTCAGGTCCCATTAATCATCCCCATTGCATGACGAAATGAGTCTTCAATCTTTTTTCACAGAGAGAATGAAACAGCTGAAACACATCCATTTAACTGACTTTTAAATCCCAGAAGTCTGGACTTTACTTGTTGATTAATAATTCATTAATATCCAAATCCAGATTATTTTTTACTGCACATTCAGTGCGGTCACAAAGTCTGGACTTTACTTGTTGATTAATAATTCATTAATATCCAAATCCAGATGATTTTTACTGCACATTCAGTGCGGTCACTTGCATTATGTGCATATTTTTTAGAAGTATCTTAATAAGCCGACAGCGTAAATAAACACTGAAACCTTTCTTTTCAAGTTGCATGAAAACTTTATTAATTGTGTGCACGTCAGTTTACATTTGATGTCAAGACTGCAGGATAAAATCCTCAGTCTCAAGTAAACAGATTTTAGCTATTGTCAGTTTATTGATTTGATATTGATCCTATTTACTCATTTTTGATTATATTGTGAATGATTCTTCAGTGCACATTATTCACACACTTTTCACCATCTGGTTGATGAATACGGATTAATATTCTGTTTCACTAACTGATTATAGAAGTAACAAAGTTTGCAAATGTAATCTTACTGATTTTAAAATGTATTATTTATAAATTTTTTGTATATGTGTGTTATATGAGAGAAAATATTTGGTGAAGTGGTCGACTAATATATTTAGAAAAAACAATGTTTTATTTATTGTTTTATAAATAATATATTTACACACATATATATATATATTTACACACATATATATATATATATATATTTACATTTAGTCATTTAACAGACACTTTGATCCAAAGCGACTTACAAATGAAGCAAACAAAACCAACAAAAGGGCAATAATATGCAAGTGCTGAGACAAGTCTCGGTTAGCCTATATGTAGCAAGGTTTTTTAAAATAATAATAAATAAGAGAGATAGAAGAAAAACAAGTAGATAGAATAGAAAAATAATAGGGAACGCTAGTGTTAGAGGGTCTTTTTTTAAATAAAAATAAAACAAGTCAAAATAATAGAAAAAGAATAGTGGATGCTAGTGTTAGAGGGTCACTTTTTATAATAAACAAAAAGAAAACGAGAATATAGAACAGATGAAAAAGAATAGAGAATGCTAATATCAGAGGCTCTCTCTCTCTCTCTTTTTTTTAAAGAAGACAAGTAGTAAGAATAGAAATAGAATAGAGAGTGCAAGTGTTAGAGGGTCAAGTGTTTTTTCCCCATAGAATTAGAATAGAGAGTGCATTTATTTATTTATTTATATACACACACACACACACACACACACAAACAAACACAATTTAACTTAAAATGTGCTCTATATTTTATATAAAATATTTAAATATTATTTTTTTTTACAAATATTTTTAATACTAAAATGTATTCAATTACATATATACGCATATTTATGAACTTTTGAATGATCATGAATTACTATTTTTGATGTTTGATCCATGAAAATATGAAGCAATTTTATGATGCCAGTCTAGTAAAATCCCTTACACTAAATCCTTTGACGAATTTCTAAATAATGTGCTAATTTCCTGTGTTTTTTTTTCTATTTCTAGGTTCCATCTTCCCAACGTACAGACCCTCGGACACAGTCTTCAAGATCACGTTTTGGCTGGGCTACTTCAACAGCTGCTGATGATTGAGAGATCCTCAAAAGCCTGATTATCATATTTGATACTCACATTTCAACATGATTTTTCTAAAAAAAAAAGATGTATGGATAATAAAGTAAACCTACTTCAGTCCAGTAAGTGTTCATCTTGAAATATTCCTAAAAATACAAAAAGCTATTCTTACATTTACTTCATAGAAATCAGTAAAGATTTCACCACAAAAAGCTGATTTCACGAGCTGAAGGAGGACGCCTTTTACTCGCTAAAAAGTTTAAACTATCAATCAGATGACAGAAGGCATGTAGTAGAGTGTGAACAACAGAAAAACATCATTTAGAGGCCTTAGAAATTCATGTATTAAATATATTACTGTAGGCTTTAGGGTTAAACTCTGTCAATTCCTCAGACAAATCAATCACGTTCTTCAGATGTTGAATATAACGCACAATTCGTATAGACTATTTTATGCTGCTTTTATTGTATTTTTTGAGCTTGACAAACACAGTTGCTATGACCTCTCATTGTTTTATGTTTTTAGGTTTGGAATGACATGAGACATAATGACAGAAATGCCATTTTTGAGTGAGCTATTCCTTTAAGAGGAGGATGTCCAGGATGTTTGCTTGGAAATTATGGTGGACATCATTCTGCATGGGTCTGTGACAATAAATACCAGCATTTGTTTTTTTTTAATTGACAGCAGTTTTATTTTAACATGTCTAATGAGTGTTATATTATATATGAGTGAATATTATATTTTTGACTGTTTGTTCTCCAGTTCATATCTTCTTTATTCAGTCCTCAGAAATTGCACTACAGCTAATGGGCATGGGTTGTTTGCATTGAGTATGATTCAAAAACCCATTTCACCTGATGATTAATCGTGACGCACAGAAACCGTATTGAACTGGGTATCGATCGTAAAAGTGTCTTTTTGATAATCCTGCATGGTCGCTTTATTATCTGTGTGTAAAAAAAAGGATTCCACATGAACATCAGATACAGCTTTCCATGTGTTTCACCGTGGGACCAACCATCACCCTTCCCATAAGTTGTGTTCCCATTACTATGACCTCGGAAATACACAAATTTCCATGTGATATTGATACTTGACCATAACAAAGAATATGTAATGACCTAAAAATGACCAACTTATGTGGCTTAAATGCCTTATAACAAGTGGCACTTTGTTATTGTGTTTGTTTCTCAAATGACAGAAAATCATGTGATTCCAAAATGGAAATATCCAATAAAAAAATAATGCATCATAAGTGTACTGGGAATCGTTCTGGGGTGCGTTTCCTAAACGCAACTATGGTCGCAAGTTCCGTCGTTACCAATAGATTTCAATGGAACTAACTTTGGAATGACATGAGACATAATGACAGAAATGCCATTTTTGAGTGAGCTATTCCTTTAAGAGGAGGATGTCCAGGATGTTTGCTTGGAAATTATGGTGGACATCATTCTGCATGGGTCTGTGACAATAAATACCAGCATTTGTTTTTTTTTAATTGACAGCAGTTTTATTTTAACATGTCTAATGAGTGTTATATTATATATGAGTGAATATTATATTTTTGACTGTTTGTTCTCCAGTTCATATCTTCTTTATTCAGTCCTCAGAAATTGCACTACAGCTAATGGGCATGGGTTGTTTGCATTGAGTATGATTCAAAAACCCATTTCACCTGATGATTAATCGTGACGCACAGAAACCGTATTGAACTGGGTATCGATCGTAAAAGTGTCTTTTTGATAATCCTGCATGGTCGCTTTATTATCTGTGTGTAAAAAAAAGGATTCCACATGAACATCAGATACAGCTTTCCATGTGTTTCACCGTGGGACCAACCATCACCCTTCCCATAAGTTGTGTTCCCATTACTATGACCTCGGAAATACACAAATTTCCATGTGATATTGATACTTGACCATAACAAAGAATATGTAATGACCTAAAAATGACCAACTTATGTGGCTTAAATGCCTTATAACAAGTGGCACTTTGTTATTGTGTTTGTTTCTCAAATGACAGAAAATCATGTGATTCCAAAATGGAAATATCCAATAAAAAAATAATGCATCATAAGTGTACTGGGAATCGTTCTGGGGTGCGTTTCCTAAACGCAACTATGGTCGCAAGTTCCGTCGTTACCAATAGATTTCAATGGAACTAACTACCATAGTTAGCTAACGATGCTTTTGGGAAACGCACCCCTGATTGAGCTTCCGAAACAACCCACCATGAGAATGTCATCATGGTTGCTATGACATTCCAGCAGTGGACACATTCCCCTAGTGACTGATGGGCTATTCACAGTTTCATGGAAATGTGTCATGCTGTATCGATCAAGTATGAGAAATGGAATAAGAAGTGTGTTTACTTTTAATGTTGTTATGTGTCCCAGTTAGACAAGTAGATGAGAAATATGATGATGGGATGTTCGGGAAACAACATAGTCTGGGGTCAAAAATTAATCCCGTGAGACAGTACAGTATGGCCTTTATATGTCAAGACCACATGTGTGACAGTTATGACTGTACTTTTGGGGTTTTGTGTTTTTTTTTTTTCAAGATGCCATATTTTTTCTCTCAGCTGAAGTCCACTTATAATGTTAACAGGGAGTTGCCCATGTTTATATGGATTTACAGTATATATATATATATATATATAGCACATATATATATATAAGCACATATATAAGCACACTTATAATAAGCATTTGAAAACGCAACAACTATCTTACCAAATTTGTATTAAGAATAGTTAAGTTTCTTGTCAGCAAAAGTCTTGGTTTTATGCCAAAATAAAAGCTCTATTGTTTAATGTTTAAAAGCAAAGAAATTAAGCCATAAACTGTTATAATTATTATATTAATTTATATATTTGATAGTATTTTTAATTTAAATTAATTTTTATACAATTAAAAAAAATGTATATTACAAAGGGGCAATATGAGTTTGTTAAGAAGTCCTGTGGTTGCTAGGGTTTTCTGGATGGGAGCTAGGTGGTTATTTAGTCAAAAGAGTCCATCTGCAAGTCTTCGATAGATATGTCCTTGCTGTTTTATTTTATTGTTAGCCTGCTTTATTTTCTGAAAAGTACAAGTAAACCTTAGAAATGTAATATACTTCTCAACAAGCTGCACGAATTGAAGTGTCATTCACAAGCGGTGCAGGGTGAGTTAACACTGTAGCTCAAGGGTTTGTTCAAACCCACAGCCCTTATTCTGAGCAATAGTAATCAGGATGCTTGTTTTAGCAACAGTACAAATATTATAAACACATTGTGGTCGGTTGTGGCATCTCAGAATGGCTGTTTTTGATTTATGGCAGTGTTCAGAAAAAGCCTGTTTGAGAAGCATAAACCGAATCATCTGGGGAAGGTTATTTTCACAGGAGTACTGGTTGTGACTAGTCCAAAACCCTTCCTCTATATCTTCAACATCTTATCAGCACTGTTCGTAGCGTTTCTGAGAGCATCTCCGATCATTTCAAGTTATGGAAGGTGGACAGGGCCAAAAGTCTTCAAACGAAATTTAATGTAAATGTAAAATTTGACCTTGCATCGGTATGTTATGTGTACATTATGTATATTTGTCATGTTGTTTTTAGTTGTTTAGTTCTTTGTTCTTTCTCAGTTAGAAAAGTCTTAATTAAGTTGGCTTGAAAAGGCTATTTAAACTTCTTCTTCTTCTGAGACCAAATTTTAAAATGTATCTCCTCCTAGACTTTTAAAGCTACAACCACCAAACTCGGGTCAGACCTTCAGACTGGTCTGACTCGGGTTGCTATATCTTTTCTTACTGATCCGGCTTATGGTTTTCATAAACCAGACTATCAAAACCACCTAAAATCCCATAGACTTTTCATTGAGGGGGTGAAAACTTTTATACAATAAGACTTATGGTGTATTTAAGCTGTCTATTGCTATAGCAAAGCTTAACAACTAGCCTTTTTCACAAAAATCGGAAATTACGTCAGCGCAGGGTAAAGTTAGTTCCGTTACAGGTCTGCGCCTATTATATTAGTATGCCCTTTTCTCAAATAGTGCTTCTTACCTTTTCTGTTTTGTCTGTTTTCCAAGTTGTTGTTATATAATCTACAAAGAAATAACATTTTACTTGT